CCTAGCAGTTGATATGAAACCGTGGTGAAAACTTAAGTTCTATTAACACTTATCGTTCAATGATAGTTTTTTGGGCAGGTGCCTTCAATTTTTCATTGTCTAGAACAGTTGAGCAGTAGAAGGTGTTAGAATGTGGCAGACTTATAGAACAATCTTCTGCCCATAGATTACTTACTTGACACTTGAATGGCCCGTCCTCACTGGTTGTGCGGGCTCTAGCATAATTTCCATTTTTCGAAGATTTGCTGGCTAAGCCATCATGGTTTCCTGGAATCCCGAGGTCAGTCTGGCCAAAGTCTGCCCCAGGTCTTCACCACCACGGGCATTCGCAGCCTTTGTGGATCAGAGGGAGATTTACCATCATGCGACTTTGATACCAGGACGGTGGTGGATCCTGGTATTAGTTTACTCTTAGCTAGGCTTCCTGATAAAAACGCCAGACTTCTTCGCAGCTTGGGAGACACTGCCAGGGGATGAATACCCCGCTGTATATCGCAGTCCGACACCCAGGAACACCTGCCAACCACGATGAGGCGGTAAACCGTTGGGAGGACAATCTACTGACCTATAGAGCAATCTTCTGCCCATAGATTTAGTGACATAAATGGTTTTTCTTGAAAAAAAGTGGCTCGTAAGATTTTAAACTTTTCCGAAAATTATGTTTGTAAAAGAAAGAAGGAAAGTAACATTCTTAAACGTTTTCACGCAAGACCGACAGCCGTAGAAATCTACTATGCTTTAGAGGACATCAACGTGTTCAGTTTTACAACATCCCGCTGTTCAATTGCTTTAATCCTTTAAACAAACAGAGACCTCAACATAAAGAAGCGATTCACGTTTTATCTGCTACAAAAAAAACCAAAATTTTCAAGCTATAGAACGGAGAAATTTGCAATTTGGCAAGGAACTGCGTAGTACACTATAAGCGCAGAATGTATTTCGTTAGGGTTGAAAAATAAGCTTAGTTTTCGGCAAATGCGCATTGAAATCAATCTGCATCGTACGCTGTGTTTTAAATGATATTCGCGCGGAAGTATTGGGAAAAGGCGAGTGATCTTGAGTATTATGGTTGTTCGTGCTTGGTACGAAGGCAGAAACAGTAAGTGAAAGAAGTAACGTTGCCAGTGGTACAAAACAAAGAAAGAATTGTTGCGAGAATCGTTTAGTCACCAAAGTGAAATAGCTTTATTCACAAATAATCTAAGAATGCTGATGACTTAATAAGAGATAAGCTCTCGAGTGCTTTAGTTGGCTAGTTTTCTTAGCTACTGATGTCGTTATTCGTGGAATTGTCATAAGTTCCTTTCACATATCAAAGCAAACGTGTCTTACGATTGCTGTGAAAATAAAGATATTGAAGAAGAATTGTTGGAATCTAGTCATAGGTAGCAACAAGATTAATTACACTATTAGTCAGCAATGTTTACCTGATCGCATTCAGGAAGCACCCGAACCGTGTAGAAGGAGACAGAATTTCCTAACGTAGCTACGTACACTTCCTGGAGTAGCGAAGAAGTTATGGTGTGGCATCTATCAAATAACTCTTGGTGATCATCTTCTAAGCATCACCTTACTACTTTGCTGCTTTCCGCGCGCATTTGTTGATAACTTAGTATTGTTCACTTCTTCACACTTTTGATGTATTACCCTGCTCAGTGGGTCTCGCTTGCTCGAGGAATAGAAACCCTATTGCATTATTCGTGAGATGCCCTTTTTTGTTGTTTTTAGCGTAGTCAGCTTGGTGGAATCCTACGTGGAATAGGTTTAGCTTAGCAGGCAGATCGAAATAGCTAATTCCTTGATTAGCTTAGACGCTATATAGAGTGTATCACAGCTTGAAACGCAAGAACACCCGCAGCCACGATAAGGCGGTTAGCTATTGAATTCCTCGGAATGTCATGAGCTCAGCAGAAATATCACCAGTGGTGAGAGTTCTTCATGCAAGCCATAGAAGATATGTTGCCCAAGGAGTCCCTAGAGGGAGCAGAACCAACAAGGCTACTCTTGCACGCGACAAGTGAAAAGTGATGCTCATGCTATACACAAAATCATATGTTACCATATATTTTGTAGTAACTTCCTGACTTCTCAGGCACAAATTTTTTCAGTATGGAAAAAACTGGAATTGCCATTGCGCGAAAAGGAGGCGCAACTCTAACAACGAAAATGAGCAAATTGCTAAACGATAGCAGACTACTCAAGTCTCAAACGGCCACGAATTTACAGTAACTTTTGTGTTTCAAATGTTTAAAGGCAAGTAGAAGTGAAGAGAACATGTACTGGTTGGTAAGCGAGACGCAAGCGAAATTCAAATTTCGAAATTATATTGAGAAACTACAGTGACGTGGAACTCTGCACAGCACATTATAATGGTTTTCGGTAGGAGTCAAAACAGGGACGGAAACATAGTAATGAAGCAATTAGGAGAAGAGCGCCCAGAGATAAACGATCGAGCTCACTCGATTACATAGTGTTTGCTTGTCAGCGTGCCTCGTTGATATCTATTATCAGAGCAATCCTCCAGCAACTGACGATAACATGCCACTGGCCAAACGACGAGTTCGTGCTGGTGGAATACCAGTCGCGATTGTCTCTCAATCACTGACTCTTCAGTCACACCTCCCAGATTGCATTCATTTTTTTCAACGTCTATACAAGCAGTGCTGGCTCATTCTTCACTGATTAGCTTACGCTGAAAAGTCTGTTTTCTAGCCAATGATATAGTTGCATTGCTCACCACTATGTCTGGGCATAGTTTATCTTTTTCCAAGTCATCCAAAAAATTTATTTCTATCCGAATATCATAGCGTAATATTTAAGCGAAGTCGATCTGGAATAGAATACCAGATCAATGTTTTCCATTTCTATTCTCATTATGTTAACACGTCTAATTTTTCTTTGGCTCCCACCTAGGAAGAAGCCCTGTTTGCGTCTGCTGACACACGCTTGCCGATAGACAGTGTTCGCAGAGAATCGAAAACTTTAAATTCTTATAGAACACGTTATATCTCTTCCATGTATCTTTACAAAAAGTGTTTTTTCGATTGACATTTTAAGTTGAGAATTTCTTCGAAACAAATCTTTTCGGCAAAGGAAAGCGAGGTTGAAAATTTTTCGCATACGCTGAAAACATCTACGATACGTTATTTCACTTCGATGGACAAAATCCCGCTTATTCAACCACTTCACCATTTGAGAAAAGAGATTTGACTAAGAATAGGGAATGACGCACGTTATGTACGCTTCAGAGGATTGTTCATTATATGCTAGAATCTAGTGGTATAAAAATGAAAAGAACAATTTCGTTCGGGCCTTCTTTAAGCATATATGTCTTATTCATGAGCAAGTGAGTTAACTAATCTGCAAAATTGAGATGCATTAATATCGACATAATTCTAACACATGAGCCAAATCAACTGATATGTTTTGGCATGGGTTCGAAAAGTCGAATTTATGAAGAAGAGTTATTCTTCGTGAAGCAATCAATCCTACGACCGACTTTCTGTTAACCTCGGCATTGATCAAATAATTCTTCATGCTCTTGTTGAGCAAATGCGAAGTATTTCTTTATTCTTTATTCCATCTGAAGTTTCAGTAGATTTCGCTTTTCTCAGAGCCTGGAAAGGTCAAGTTGATAGCAACCTATCCGGCCAAACGCCTCCATAACCAAACAGAGAAAACGCTAAACCAAGATTTCAATCACATTGAACACAGAGTAGCTTCCTTGTACACTCACCGTTTTCTGTGAGTCTTCCACTGAGTATGTCATCTGGAAAACCAATCTATGGAAGACTAAGAATAAGAAGATCCAAAATGCCTCGAGAGTTTTGCGCGCTTGGTTTCTCGATTCCTGCGCGAGGATCGTGACGCGTACCTCCAAGAGTACTCTTAGGCGCCAGCTAGTTCGTAACTGCCTATATAACTGTCTATGTGCAACGCACAATTGCATAATTTGCCCTAACGGTACAGACGGTGATTGCATGAGTTCGGGTACAGTCTATCTGATCACTTGTGAAGCGTGCGAGGACAAATACTTTGGCGAAACGGGTAGACCGCTCTGCGTCCGCATAAAAGAACACCTAGTCGGCAAACGTAAACCAAACACCCCATTAGGCACCCATAGGACGCAGAGACATAGCGGGGAGGACTTTGAAGTACGTGTCGCGATACTCGCACAGAAATCGTGAACACAAGCGCGGAAAACTCTCGAGGCGTTCTGGATTAATTCCAAAAATCCGAAAATGAGCCGCAAGGAGGAATGTCTCATTATCACGCGTGATATTGGGCAGTATATAAGCCTGTTATTTTGATGAGATTGGCACAACACGCTTCCATGTGAATTTTGTGCGGTTGGTTTCCACGCGACGTACTCAGTGGTAGACTGATAGAAAGCGGTGAGTGTGCAGAGCTATGCTAAATGTGATTGAAATTTCGATTTAGCGTTTTCTCTGTTTGGTTATGGAGTTGTTTGGCCGAATAGATTGCTTTTAACTTGACCTTTCCAGGCTCTGAAGAAGGCGAAATTCGCCGAAACGTTAGCTTGTTCCTGAATGAAGAATAAAATAACCCCTCGCATTTGCTTTTCGTGAAGTCTGTGGCTCAACCCACACATCATGTTTTCGTTTGCTTAGAAGACGTAATTTTTCAAAAAAGTTGAGCTAAGTTTTGATACTATTTTACGTTTTTACTCACAGTTTCCGTGATAACTAAAAATAATTGAACAAAGAGCAGTCGAGAGACGATCGGCGACCAGTGCTAGCTTCATTATCTAATTTACTGAGCCGGAAGTATTCAGATTCTTCGTCCTGTCGAAATGCCATATGTCGGTATCGGAGCGCAGCAAGACAGTGAGTGTTGTGATTGAACGCGTCTGTCTATACTGCGCAAACGTCGAGACCTCCTGGTTTTTTGACTGCTTTGAAAAAACTGGAAAATTTTTCTTTGCTTTTAAGTAGCATATTTCGGTTTATTTAGGCAAGAAATCTCTTATTGGACCGTCGATGTTAAAGGTATATGGTATCGTTATTTTTGCGATATTCTTGACGTTTGCGATTGCTGGTTTGGGAAAGCATCATTCGCTTCACCCAACAACACATCCAAAACGTGAAACAGTTGCAGGTTTAGTTAATTGTTTTCGCAGTTGTTATGATAATAGAGAAAAATAAAGAAGAAAAATTATATTTCACGAGAAAAAGGCGATTGTGACGTAATACCCATGAAGGAACAAAAACGTTAGAGGAGAGACTACCGATTATAATTCGTATTCTTGGATTGCAGAAGTACCTAGTTTAATAGATGGCCTTGAAACTAAGTGGGCAGCTGACTTACCCGGTATGAAATCAAAGGATGACCGACGTGCGTCTTAGCTAGTTAGACACGAATTTTTAGTAGGTCTGTGACGTGAAACAACTGCGTGAATTCCAATACTTTAAGCAATTAGATTTCTAGGCGCGAATAATTCGGTAGAGACAAAATTATCACAATTTAATTAGGGAGGGTTATCAGTAATGTCTACTAGTCATTCTTTTTCATTAAAGAAAAACATTTGTTTTGGTGGCCACCAATGAGCCATTTAAATGAGATCTTTTTGGAATTCTTTTTCACTTATTTTCGGTAGAATGTCTGGTAGAAGAAAGCGTTCACATCTACATAAAGGTTGCTGTGGTATAAGAAAAAGTATTTAACTGATTAGTTACTGGGTCGTTCTTCTAACGAAATTTTTGCGAATTCGGGCCTAATATGTTTGTCTGAGCCGTAAATATTTTTATTGCCCTTTCAGACATTCACAATACGATATCAAATTTGCTGATGTCGAGCGTAAATCCTAAGAATATCAAAGAAAACTTACGGCGGTTTACCAGAGAACCTCACATATCTGGAACGGATGCCAATAAGAAAGTGGCTTACGATATCGTTCAGAAGTGGAACGACATTGGTTTGGAAGGTGTGGATTTTTGACGCTATTAGATTTGGAGGATGGTCAAGGTCATCTTGTCATGAAAAACAGCACGACGAAAAAGCCATGTAGGAGAAACGTTAGGAAGTATGAGAATCTTCGTGCTCCTTTCGCTAATAGAACAAAATGAGCAGTATGGTAGAGAATGATGAGTTTACTCGTAGTTTGTACACGTGGTCATTGGTTCCCACTTGTATAGAATTTCTGCCAAAAATACAAGTTTTGTGAAAACAACAAAGCATACCATATGTTTACTAGAACTATGGCCTCTACCCTTTAATGCTAGATTTGAATTAGCCTAATAGTTTATTTTAAACTTTACCATGTATCCTTTATAACTGTTACAGTATTTTTCAGCTACAGTTTATTCTAAGTTTAGATGTGCACATGATTCCCTATGAGGTTTTACTCTCGCATCCTGATTTTACAATTCCAAACACGATCACAATTGAGGACGCTCAGGGAAAACCTCTATTCAAAAGTGCGGGACTCAGCCCCGTCATTCTTCCCGATGAACAAGCAAAGAGTGAGAAAAAAAATGAATAAAATGTGGAAAAAAGGCCTCTTCGCATAGGGCTTTGGTTTCAGCTGCTGGACATCAGTGGCTTGCCTATTCAGCTTCCGGACGGGTGACAGCCGAAGTGGTATACTGCAATCGCGGGCAACTGCAGGACTTTGAAAATCTTAAAAGGATGAAGGTAGACTTGAAGGTATGTGTGGATAAATATCTTTTACAAGACCAAATAAGGGATAGCCCTCATGTTAGCTGGAATATTAATATTCCCATTCTCTGTGTAAAATGTGAAAAAATGCATAAATTATTGGAGTCAGCTTTGTTTGAGTGTAGCGAAATGAGAAGCTACTCCAATCTTTATAAACCGTCGGTGGAATAACTCAGTCAAAATCCTTAACATCATCTCCTTGCTGTCGTCATTGCATTTATGGGCAAAATCAACGTCTCTTTCTTCAGTGAAATTATAGTAACCAAACAGTATCAATACAGGAGATAAGCTTGATGATTTTTTGGGATTGTGCTATTGCCAGCTGTTACCTGGACTTCATTTGTAAACCGGTGGTCGGCCCAAGCTGCCCAGGACCTGGTTCGCCGCTGTTCCGGGCCAACCAAGCTGTTCATCTATTCAGCGTTGGGGAGCTGTTACGAGACTAGTCTGCGACAAGTTCCACATTGGAACGCCTCAACACGGCTATTTCAGGCTTCTAGGTAGTATCGCCTCGTCTAGAATTCAACGACATTAGTGATGAAGCTGAAAATTCCTCAAGTAGCACCTGAAGCGACACGCATAAAGTTGGAAGGTCTCCGCGAAAACGAGCATGAATACGAGCAAACGAATAGAATGCAGGAGGTGTTAGGAAGGAAGCGAAAAGTAGAGCATGTGTTGCTGGGCCTTGTAGCAAAATAAAATAGATAAATTCTAATTGGAAACACAGCGTGTGTTGTTGGGCGTTTCATCACTTGGTGAAAAATTGGGTGCATCATTTCTATAATCGGCCCTCACGCACTGCTTCAAATATTCACCCATGCAGTGTATCTATCTCACTGTTGTTTCTAGGAGACGACAAAGATAAGATTCGATGCAAGAACAATTATCGACATTCGGCCGCAAATTTAAAGTGCTATAACTGGGCTTGCATACAACTTTAGTATCCAGAATAAGGGTCATTGGTATGCACACATTTTTATCAGCAAGACAAAAGTGCATTTAGCAAAAAAGTCCATTTACTTCGAATGGTTTCTGAACTCCAGAAAACATCGACGTGTCCGAAAGCATTTATACCAGTAGTTGCTTGCTGACTTCTCATAACTATTAAAAGTAGTGGAAGAGGTGTTCAAAAAGTGCTAGTTGTGAGCAAAAACTCATATTATTATGAGGCGAAGCTTATAGTCGGTGGCGCATTGCTTTGTGAAGCATTGTCGTGCAAGGAGATTTCACTTTTCTATTAACCAATTGGGTACATACGCTGATCTTTTTGATGCATTCTATGTCGTAACCCTACTCTGTTTTGGTCTTTCGCTAGTAATCAGAAAGTTGTGGTGGACTAATGGCATTGCAAGTAAGAAAACACTCACCACAGCCACAAGGATGGCGATTCATAAGGAAGACTCGGAAGCTCACTTGAGCTTCGAACACGTAATTATCTTTACTGCGGGGTCATGTTCTATCCACCACACCAACCAACACAATTGGTCTGTAATTCACGTGGTATCGTGCAGTGAAAAAAGAATAGGCCGTAGATAAATGTGGAGACATTGTGATCTTGATGGCAGTTTCAGCTTAACTGAGTTTAAAGCTGATTTGTGTTTCTCTGACTATTACCACCGACAGTGATTGCTGATAGCACCGTTAGAGTATAAAACTGGCTGAGAGAAAAACAAAACGAGGCCTCGGTTGGTGTGTTTGATAGCACGTGAGTCTCCCGTAGGAGACTTCGAAGCTTTACTGTGGGTCTGATTTTTGTTCCTATCTCATCATTTTTGCAGCAATGTTTCACACAGCACCCTACCATGGAGAAGGAATAGGCAGTAAATAGAAAGTTATGACATTCAACCTTCTTCTACTGGAAAATCCACTTTCGGTAATGGTTAAGGAGCTCCATCACGGTCTGTAACGTGCGTTAAACGTCTTTGATTGTCATAAATGGGTCGTCTATTTTGAACAAAATACGCATAAAACGTACTGCAAAATGGCCATCGCTTTGCTTCGTCTCTGGCTTGTATGACGCTCGACAGCATCGTTTATCCAGTAACCGCCTTATACCATTATCACAGCCACCTCATGGTCACCGCTGTCGTCATTGCCCTTCTACACATTTTACTGGAAAAAATTATCAGGAATTTCGTTTAGAACAAACACTGCTTCAGTATTTCATCAACTTTTTCAGGGAAAAATCGCTTTAATGCGCTTTGGTGAGGGCTTTCGTGGTGATAAAGTACACAGGGCGCATCAGAATGGTGCTGTTGGTGCCATTATATTCTCTGATCCATACGACGTAGCGCGAGATGGAATTAATCAAGGTTAGAAATATTGTCGCTGATAATCTTCACACAGCTGGATATTTCCTTTTTTATCTCTATTATTGTTTCGTGTAAAAATTTAGCAATAATAGTTTCTTTCAATAATAAACGTAGTTATCCATAGAGAATCCAGTAACGTGTGCTACTATTAGCATAAGCACAAATTTTTCGTTTTGAGATGAATATTGTAGATCGAAATCGAACGATCGAAAGGTTCAAGTTTTTGTTTCTGTGACAAGGATTTCACCATACTTTCTGTTTTGCGCTCAGAAGACGTTCAACAGCTAACTTTTTTTAAGCTGATGTTTATCCAAACACAGTATGGATGCCGAATGAGGCAGTACAGCGAGGATCTATCATGCATGGAAATGGTGATCCGCTCACTCCTCTCTATCCATCTAGGGCGGATCTCTTCAAGAGTCGTACAATCGAGCAGGTGCATTTGCGACTATCAGAGAGCAGCAAGAGCTTGACTATTTGAGCTATGATTTGTTAAAAGATCGCCCTTCTTTAATTATGAAAATGACAGGCGAAAAATGAGGGTATTATCCCCAAAATACCGGTGCTGCCTGTTTCTTATACAACAGCGTACCATATACTGTCACGACTGAAGGGCCGTCCCGTCCCGCAACCATGGCAAGGTGCGTTAATAATCAGGCACGATAGTTACGGTTCCTTTTGTGATAGTTCTGTAATGACCATCTTCAAAAAAATTTACAGGAGCAATTAATGTAACATACCGTACTGGACCAGGATTTCAAATGGATGAGAAACTGACTATGGAAGTGCATGGAAAACTCAAAGTAAAGTGAGCCTCAATCCATGGAGTGGTTATATTAATTTGTTCTTTTCAATCAACTTGTGTCCTAAATGCGGTTGACAAGGGACGTTGCCTGCAAAAACATATAATCTATACTATACAAAAGTAGCTTTCGGAAGAGCTGTTCACGAAACGGGTATAGAGATATGTCCGAGGGTAGATGCACCAAAGACGAAGAATTTCCACAAAAGTGTTTGCTCCACAAACACAATAAAACGAGTCTGGAAGATGTTGCAATTCCTTTCCTCTGGAACTGGGTCACAATGCTCTCCACGAGTCGCCTCCAACAAACGAACTCCCCATCTACGCTGGGAGAGGGTGCCAAGCCACTCGTGGGTATATCCATCCCGCGTGTTGAGAACTTCACAAGCTATACACGGGTATAAAAAACTGAACATAGCAGGATAAAACAAAAGTAAACACTGTGATAACGATTAACATCTTCCGAAGATATGCGGAATTTACTGCGATTCATGAATGTGCTGCAGTAGGACCACCGATTCGATGGTCATAGCTCTTCACAAAAATCCTAGGAGAAAGGTGTGATGCTCAACGGCTCGCTAGAGCGAGCAGAACGCAGTAGGCTGCGCTTGCTTCGACGGGGAAAAATGAAAGGTTCACTGGCGCCAGCTCGTGTAACTCAATGATCAACGGAACGACTTGTGATACATGTGATATAGGTGATTAATTGGGCTTACTTCCACTTCACGAAAGCCTGGAAATAATAAAGCTTTTCAACAATCACCTTTCAGCTGCTAGTGAACTTTGCTGTTTGAAATAAAGACTGCAAAAATCCAGAAATGTTTACTAACTGTAAAGAAATCGTTCCACCACCGAAAAATTGGACGTGATGGAGTATTGAATAAGGCAGAAATGACAATATTTAGCGAGTTAGTTATGATCTCAATTTCTCGAGTTCCCTAGTTATCGAAGAATTACCGTGAGTTGTCGGAAAAACAGCACAGTCTATTATGTGAGGCATATAAGTTCAATTTTTGACTACTTATTGACTTTTTTCCATTTACAATTTCTAACATGAATTGTGATTATCTCTTGGGACAGGTGGTTATAAAAACACCAAGACACACTCAGCGTAAATTGTAAAATTCTTCCAAATGCTGATAGCAGTGTTTGGATGATGAACTGTCGTAAAATGTAATAGATAGCATTGCCTATAGTCCGAGATCGATAAAGCAAAGACTTTTCTAAATTTTTTCCTAAAGCTTAAAATTTGCCAAGCTATCGAAACTTTTTACCCATTGTCGAAAAAGTAGCACTGTCGTGTTGAAATCGCAGGCGGGTTTCACTTTTTCTAAAGTTGCCTCGCAATTTGGCATTGTGCAAAACGTCATTCACGCTATATTGTACGTTGGGCGTTATTTGTTAAAAAATGTGTCACATATGATTCTGTAGTGTAGTTCAAATTCGATAGGATTTAAAGGTAGCAAATTTGAGCATCCAGCTGTATGGGCTGACGTAAGTAGATGTTTTAAATGGCATATTTGATAATGTCCAAGCTAAACTATTCAACAAGTAAAACCCGTAATCGCTGCTGTGGGTTTTACTTTAAGACAGATACTTGGCGTTTACATGTCTTCAGCCATTAAATTTCATTACTGCTGACAAAAATGTCACATGTCTAGGTGATTGGTGGCCGCTGTGAGTCAAGGTGTCATACGCACAAGTATGTCATAAGAGTCATCGAGCTTTCCTCCAATACATCTACTAGTACTTATCAAAATTTGGTCCCAATCTTCACTTTTGTAGTCTTTTTAATAACTTGGCCTTATTCTTTGTGTCGACACGATTTTTATATCAGAAAGCGCATTCTCGCACACATGCATGTTGCGTCAAGTTGTATACTTAGTGTAAAAGTCAATCGAGATTACCACGGATAAGGAACGCATCGCATGAATCCCTTGTGTAGCGGTTTCATAGCAACGGTTTTTTAGGACAATTCGAAATGTGGTAGGGTATATTCGTGGAAAAGATGAACCCGATCGTTACGTGATACTAGGCAATCATTATGACGCTTGGGTTTATGGCTCTGTGGACCCTAACAGCGGCACTGCCATACTGACCGAAGTGGCACGTGCCATGATGCACACCGTAAACAAAACTGGATGGAGGCCTGGTAATAGTCTAGTTGTTGACTTTTATCAGTCTGTTCGCTATCAAAATCATTTTGTTCAGCACGTACTGTCATGTTTGCTGCATGGGACGGCGAGGAACACGGAATCATCGGTTCTACTGAGTTTGTAGAGGAGTTTGCCGAGATACTCAGACAGAGAGGTGTTGTCTATTTGAATATGGACTGCCTTCATGGGAATACAAGCCTGTGAGTGTACCTCTAACGAACTCCACCTTAATGAGAAAATGGTTGTGAGGTATTCAAGCGGCCCAGCAATTCATTTCATCAAGTAGACATCAAAAGACAACAACTTTAAATGAGCACTGCATTTGGAAATTTTACGTATCTTGTGAAATTTCTTGAAAAATCACGGAATAGGAATGCAAAAACTTTGTTTCTGTCCGGGTGTTTCTCTTTGGCAGAATGTTCGAAAAAACGATTTATTCTGAGGCGAAATTCGATAACAAGAATTTTTTGTAGCCATGTGGGATCGATACCATCTCTCCACCATGTACTCTTTGAAGCTGCTAAAAAGGTTTCAAATCCATCGAAGGCGGAACAAAGAAAGGGTCGAAAAACGTTGTATGACTCGTGGTTGAAGACGTTTCCTTCGTCCATTCCTGGATTACCTGATATTCCCGTCCCCGGTTCTGGTTCTGATCACGCGTCGTTTCTTATATTTTCCGGTGAATCTCGTTTTTGTATTTTTCTCTTAAAATTGAAAAATATTTTTACCAGCATAAAGCAGCACGATTTTGAGCAATGAGACGATATTCTGCGATTTCAGGAATTCCTGTAGTGGATATCACATTTAAAAATGCCACTACTTATGACAACTATCCCCTTTACCACACTATGTATGAAACGCCATTTCTGAATGAACACCTTCTAGACACGGACGGTTTTTCGGTGTGTCTTCAATCATTTACTAACTTGCACGTTATTTGTGAAAATTACTACAGGTACATAAAGCGGTTGGGCAATTCTGGGTCGAATTGGCACGTATCTTCACAGATGAGCCTGTCCTACCCTTCAATTCAACCGAATTGGCCGTCGCTATCCTGATGGTACGCTAGTAACACAGCTGCATATTGGTATATAATTATTTTCTGCACTCAATAGATATACTGACGTTCGATTGTTCTACTATAATCAACTATTGAGTTTTTCGACTATTTTGAACCAACTGACCTGTTCAAACCAATAGGCGCTTTGAAAACGTTTTGAAGCAATTTAATTTTAAACTGTGCTCCTCCACAGATCTCTGTTATAGGTGCATCTCATGCTGATTAGGAGCTAGGCAAAGTAACGCGCTGAAAAGTGGCCTGCAGGAGGCTAATCGCGCACGGAAAACTGCCTTATGCGTTCCTGGGACGCAATGGGTCCAGGTTATGGTCTCCATGTTACTGCTGCTAATTTGGCATATACGTTTTGTGCTTACGAGAACGTATCCATGCATACGCGCATGGTTGTGGTCTCGTTTATTCGGATTGTATTCTACGAGTTAACTCGGCCAAAAGCATGCTATCTAGTAACAACAAAGTATAAGGAGGCGGTTAGGAATCGCCTCCAACAAAATAGACTCCCCATCTACACTAACTGAACTGAAAGAGACTGGCAAGCTTCTCTTCTGTGTTTCGATATTCTTGTTGAGCAAACACGAGATGTTGCTTTATTCTTTATTCCGTTAAAGATGACGTTTCTGCGGATTTCGCTTTTCTCAGAGCCTGTAAAGGTCAAAATGACAGCAATCTAATGGGTCAAACACCTCCATAACCAAACAGAGAAAACGCTAAGCCAAAATTTCAATCACATTGAACACAGAATAGCTTCCTTGTACACTCACCGCTTTCTATGAGGTTTCCACTGAGTATGTCACGTAAAGACCAACCGCACAGAAATCACGTGGAAGTATAATGTGCCCTCACATCAGAAAAGCAGTTTTATATACTGCCCTATATCACGCGTGATAGTGAGGCATTCTTCCCTGCGGTTCATTTTCGGATTTCTGGAATTAATCCAGAGTGCCTCGAGAGTTTTTCGCGCCTGTGTTCCTGATTCGCGTGCGAGGATCGTGACACATACTTCGAAGTCGTCCCCGTTATGTCTCTGGGTCCTATGCGTGCCTAGCGGGGTATTTGGTCTATTTTTGCCGGCTAGGTGTTCTTTCATGCGGACACAGAGGGGTCTACCCGTTTCGCCAATGTATTCGTCACCACACGTCTTACAGGAGATCAGATAAACTATACCCGAGCTCATGCAATCACCGTCTCTACCACTGGGGCAAATTATGCATTTTTGAGTTGCACATAGACGGTCATATAGGCGGTTACGAACTAGCTGGCGCTTAAGATTACTCGGTGGTATTTCAACTACGCTCACCGAATTCTCTAAGCCCGCCCTTCTTAAGCAGCGTTTTATAGCTGTACTTATATCATTTGAGATGAAGGAGAAACGGGACCCTTCTATCGCTAGAGTTGTCGTTTGGAGGCCTACGAAAATAAGTGGACCTCATTCCCCGTAAAAGTCTCCTATACAGCAGCATTGGCTAGGATGAGCACGGAGAGACCGCTAAAATCTTTAGGCCATTCTGATCCGCCTAAATTGCGAAGGACTAAGGTGACAATCTGTAACTATAATGCACGCACACTTGAATCTAATTTTTCGGTAGAAGACTTGGTCATACAGTCAAGAAGAATAAGGTACGACGTCTTCGGATTCGCCGATACAAGAAGACGCCACCCATTCAATGCCGTCTATAACACCGAGAAAGAACTGTTCCTCGGAAAATGCGACAGTAGGTGAGTCGGTGGCGTCTGCATTGGCTTTAACACAAGTTTAGAGAAGTTCTGTAGAGAAGACCGCACATTCTTTAAGCTTCTCATTATGGATTTCAACCCAAAGATTGCAACCAGACGAACGTCTGAAGAACATCACGTTGCGATTTGAATATAACGAGCACGGTAAGCAGCTCTCTGAGTTTGAGGGCCAATATCTTCATTCATGGTAGCTCGCAACTCCAGAAGTGCCACTATGAAAGCTGCAATTGTGAGTCCCCAATGGAGAGTGCCGTAACGAAGTAGAATACATCATAGTAAATCGAAGGTTTAGCCTCACCGATGTCTCTTTCATCCCAAAATTCAACAGCGGATCAGACCACCGTATTTTTCATGCAAAATTTCATTTCTCGCGAAAAGAAGAAAAAGTCCCTAAATTTAAAAAGCGAAGTCCCAAAACCTCCATAAGGTGCGATTTATTCAGTTCAGTAGTCTGCTGTTGAAAAAATGGCGTTCTTGACAACGTCGAGACGACCGGCTTATTCTATATCTTCACGTTAGCACTATGAATGCTGAGAGTTCGAGGAACACCAAGAGACATTTCTCTCCTAAGATGGGAGCTGATATATCAGCGTGGAATCGAACGAGCTACAAGTGACCGGGAACTCACACCCTATCTTGTAGAAAATGCAGATGAAACATCGCCAGTTACAGCACTGGGATGGTTGCACTTCGACGCTCAGGCGGAACAGTTACAACTTCTTGAAATTCAATGGAAAAAATCGCTCATATTACTCGACTTTCCTTAATAGCCACGTCTTCCTTCTTTCATACGAAATAAACGAAGGTGGATATACAACCACAACGTTGCTGAGATATTTGCAAAACTCTGGACCGCAGGTGTCTATGGTGGGGAACGAACGCGCTATTGTCCTTTCCGGGGAGTAACGCGTTCACCACCACACCATGCGGGTNACCCGCATGGTGTGGTGGTGAACGCGTTACTCCTCGGAAAGGACAATAGCGTGTTCGTTCCCCACCATAGACACCTGCGGTCCAGAGTTTTGCAAATATCTCAGCAACGTTGTGGTTGTATTTCGCTTAGTAACCTGCCATGAAAATTATAGAAGGTGGATATGTTGTTCCACTTGTTTTCCTTACTGGCTGTTTACGATACCTATCAGAATGCAGCTTTCAAGACGATAACAAAACTCACTGAAGTATCGCGAGAGCCGAGAGACCGCTTTGTCTCAAGCTAATCGATTTAAAGAAGGCTTTTGCCTCAGTTGAGATGGAAGCAGTCATGGACGCCCTAGACTGTCAATTAGCCCTCACTGAGTATGTGTAGATTCTTCGTGAGCTCTATAAAAATTTCACAAGGAAAATATCACCATTCTACCACAATCATAACATCAACGTCAAAATAAGTGTTAGGCAAGGCGACACCATCTTGCTAAAATAATGTAACGCTACCTTGGAAAATGTCATTTCAGCATTCGAATGGGACAACATGGGAGTGAAATTCGATGGTCGACAATTACACCGTCTTCGCTTTACTTATTACAACGTTCTTATAAGATCACGTGTTAGCCAAGTGGAACGAATGCTCGTCGGCTTAGGTAACGCCTGTGGAAAGGCTGGTCTTCGACCAAATCTCTCAAAAACGATATTCATGAGGAACGGATTGGTTTCGTATGTACCATTCAGGCACAACGGAACGAATATCTCCGAATGATCCAGTTATGTCTATCAACATGATGAACAGCTTAGCTCCAGAGCTAAGCAGAAAGAAACGAGTGTCTTAGGGAGCTTTCAAAAGCGCTGGTGATATAATGAGGAGAGCAAAGAACATCCGACTCGGTGCCCACGATTTTGACTCCATGATGCATCATGCTTTAACGTATGCATCAGAAAACTGGTAGCTACGCAAGCAGAACGAAGGATCGCTCAGCGTTATTGGACGCATAATCGAAAAGGCGATGCTAGGAGTGTCCCATGTCGCACCAACAGGGGAAGAAATCCGAAGCTTCAACCTGTATTAACGATCAAAAATTAAAGATGCCACAGCCGATGAACAAGATCCGTTGGCCATTGGATTCCTTGGGTTGTCAAACGCACAGCAGAAAGACCGACCTCTGACCTAAACCTTGGAGTTCTTCGGAAGAAACCTCGAAAAAAGATATAGTGCTCAATGAGTCCCTAGAGCGTGCTGAACTTATTGCTGTGCAACACGAGGAAATGGGAGGTTTCCCGGCACTCGCTCGAGTCACCCTACGGCCACAGGGACAACGGGTGAAATACGTATTACTTTGCTCCTTGAGTTTTGAAAAGTTGAAGAGAAGTCGAAAACGAAGGGATTTCGGCAATTCTCATGTATGAAATCACAACAAGTTTTGATTAATTGCTCAGATTTCCTAACAAGGCTGCCGATTCACAGATATTTTCAGCTTTACTATTATACATTGTCAATTCATTAGTATTGTTGAAACTGTTAATTAGGAAGCCACCTCCACATTGTTTTAAACCTTTTAATTTGTTCGAATTCTTACATAAAGGCTTTTCTTCGTCCAGCAGTGTATTTGCTAGAACAAACCGTTATTTGAAACATGCGGAAGCTGATATTGGCTGCATTTCATCCATAACTAAAGCACCTGCGTTTTGAGTGAACTTCATGAATTAAGATTTGAGATCTCCCAAATTTGGCGTAGCACCTGCTGTGAAGTGAATTTCTAGACTTGGGAAATTATTAGAATCAGATTACGTAACTCAGCACCACATGCAGGATGTGCAGCCGCTTCTTAACAAAAGATCTCCAATTGCTGGTTACTGATGTCGCATGCTGTCAAACGTAGTCACTCTGAACACACACTGGAGTTCGTCGCAGGTTCTAATCTATCAAAGCAGCGAGCTGCCAGTGGAGCTCATGTACGTTGGTAGTACAGTCGATCTGTTAGCCTTCCTACAGAGTTTCCGCACCTGTCCCATCGGCAGAGCAGGAGAAAATGCACATGAAATTTGTGGAAAGGAGTACAAAATTTGCGTAGTTTGTCCTATGTTTTCGTAAATCTTCCTTTTGTTTTTTTTCATATCGCATCCAACAAGAGAAATTCTGTTTTGAAATGCTTCTTGACTTACAACTCTGATTGGCCAGAGGCTGCTGGAAACCAGCGTTTTATATGGACACATAATTGTAGCACAGTTTTGCTCTGGAAAATCGCAATAGTCTGTGATCAAGACAGCAGGTCTCTTCGACAACAATGGTGTAAAAGGTTTTGGTGGCTCCATCTCTTGCCATAGGCAACCTGGTTTTTTAGGAGTCCGCACCATATCCTTGAACTGCTGTGGAGTTCACTGGGACCAAGCGATTGAGAAGAATGTCTTTCTGTGCCTCCACGGTACTGTTGCTCATAGCCCGGCGCGTTAGTTGGTACGTGGTTAATTTTCCGGTTGGCTTTTCACCTGGTGTTGCAACTTGACGTCGTAGACAAAGGAATGTGGGCTCCCATCAGCTCCAATGTCGAGGTTCCTGCCACCGCTTACGAAACGCGAGAATCAGCTTAGCTACTTATGTGACTAGTCGATTTTAATGCTTTTATATTTTTCTGCTTTACAATTTTTCACTCCTTTATAGCCATTTGGTAACCCTCAGTTGTTTTCTTATTATACCACACTCAAACATAGTACCTTTCTGAGCCGTTTGAAACAGAAAAAAATCTTCTGTGTAGTTCATTATTTTTCTGCTAAACTACAGAATTACCTTTATAGGATTATATTCCTGCATTGGGTGAAGCGCTGAAACCTTTGAAGTTTTTCCATTCATCGATACAGCCTGCGTTGCAGCAACTGGCTCATATGGCTAGAGCAGCTGAGGTTTGTTTTTCACTTATCATTGTATTCCCACATCAGTTGTTGTTTTAGGCCTTTCTTCACTTAAGTAGGAAGTTTGAGAGGATCATGAATTTCACACACTCTGCCTTCTCCCAGAATCCATTCGATTCACGGCACCTCACGGCTGTCAACGAGCGACTCATGAAGTAGGTATTTGCCGTGAGCAAGGTCGTCAACAAATGAAATCTCAACCTGAGGTTATCGAGATGCAGCCTAACATTATATTGCAACACAGTTTCCTAGATGCGTGGAAAATTTTCCGGGCTGGGAAACGAACTTGAAAAAGAGTAGTGGAAAACGCTAGAGCATAAGGTGGCAGTGTTGAAGTTTTTTAACAGTTTCCAGGATCGACTATCTATTAACCTCGGCATCGGATAATAAATCTGTCGCTTTCTTTCTCAGCAATCGCGAGGTTGTTATTCAGCACGCGTTCACTTCCATATAAATAGAACGCATACAACACAACCGTAGCTAACGTTTCGTCAATATCGCCTTCTACAGAGCCTGGAAGGGTATACTGATATACAGTTTACTAGGCCAAACGCTTCAATAACACATACAGAAAGATGAGAATCTAAATGGTAGTTACATGGTCAACAGCTTTTCAAAAAACCCACCTGTTTTTTTTTGCCTTCCACTGAGGAAGAGCCTCTGATCAGTAAGGCACGTAAAAACGGCTCTGAAGAAGGCAATACAGCCGAAACGTCAGCTACGATTGTGCTGTGTGTTATTGCATGGAAGTAAACGTATACTGTTTAATAACCTTGCCATCGCTGAGAAAGAATGCGACAGGTTTTTTCACAGTATTGTTGCAGAGTGCAGTAAGATAGAGTAATGGCTATAAGGACATGATACAATTATTATATTTTTTACATAATTCTTATGATAATTATTTTATCTGAACATTTCACTACTGACAGCATTTATCGATGTTTCATCAATCCTCGTGGCACTGCGCTGGCACCCCAATCTCGACACGTTCTCTATTCGATTAGTGATCAAGACAGCTACTCTAGCAGACAAGTGGCTGCTGTTTATGATGCTGTAAGTGGAGAAGAGAGCCTGTTTTTAACGGCTATTGTTTTTATCAGTTTTATTTTGTTGGAATTAGGGATTATGGCGTATGCACAATAGTTTGCTTAGGTTATGTATTTAATAGTCAACCTAATACTTTCTTTGGCATGGCGTTTTAGTCCAAACACACCCAACAACGGCATTTACTCGTTGTGGACTTTTTCATACGAGGTCAACACACATATTTTGGCATTCTCCTTCCTATATTATCAACTTCGGCACCTGGCTGAGTGATTGTATTTTCAAGGATCATAGTGATTGTTTAAGCTTTGAATGATCGCTATCTCTGCAGAAATCTTTTAGTAGTCAGAAGAGAAAATTATAACTCGAGACGTTGTCACTGATGAATCAGTCTGTTTTTGTCCCAAGAAAACGTGGACGTTCAAAGTAATCGTATTTATCGTAGATTGATGCCTTCTCAAAAGCGGAGTCACCTCAGCAGCGATTAGCGCTTGGTGCCACAATTGCCAATCAGATTTCGATCGTACAACACTCTATTCAATGTGCTACGAACACTCTCAAGGATCTAATTTGAATAGCACTGTTGCATACAGTTGCTGTTATTTTTTCCCTATCATGAGTACATTGTTTATTTTAGTTCTGCTGTGCTTTTGTTTGCTGTCATGATAGTCTGGAAGAAAATTGTTCGTATAGTGTTGAGAATGTGCATGTTTGTGCAAGAAAAGTAAAAATTTGTAAACCAATGCCTTACAATTGATCCTGTCTGGTACGTCATCTTGATGGGCGGTGACTGTATGAGAAGGATAGAAATGAGAAATATACTGAGATACACTCTAGTCGGGATGGTAGACCATCCAAGTAACCAAATAAATAATTTAAGAGTTACTATGCTGGAAGTGCTTTTCTCCTGGGTGATGGGCATCCATTCTAAAAAAAGAACTAGATCTAAACATCTCACCGTCACATACTTCTATGAAGGTTCTGCGCCATGTTAGAAGGACCCTAAAATTCTCTCCATTGCAAAAGAAAGTCATAAGATATCAATGATATTGTCAAGAAGAAGCTCTACCTTTTTTCCGACAAGCCAAAATTTCTTTACATTTTAAGGGACAGGTTGACGTTTTTTGACCAAAAGGTCTGGGCACTGAGCCACAATTTCCAAGGAGAGAGTTCATGCACAGCAGTTATATTAAAACTCATTACTTTACAAGATGCTTGCACTACGAGGTTTTTACATTTTGTTGCAGCTTATGCGCATTCTAACTTGTTGTTTGCACTTCGTAAATTTCAAAACACATCGTTCAAGCGCTTTTTCGTTGTGGCTGAGGTACCAACTAACGCACTTTCTGCATAACAAAGCATTAAATGGAGAACGTGACCGGTAAGTTTCGGACCTCTTAAGTGGTCGATGGATTCTCTGGGTGACTCGGCCCTCGCCCAGGCCGCTCTTTTGCCTTCCTATAATTGTTACCCCATATTGTCCTCTTTGTTCATTGAGTGTTCATATATTCAATGTATTCTGATTACTATCAGAGCATCACCTGCATTAGCTTGTTCACCATGACCTCATAGTTTCTTTTAATAAACAAGGCCTTGTTCCGATTTAGTGCGGTCCTTTCCTTTTCCGCATTTCGAAAGATCTTTGAACACGTATCTGATTCACTGGTACATCTTCAAAAAAATGCTGTCAGGAAAACGAAGATTAAACGTTGATTTATCACTAATGTGTTCGTACTCTCATCCCAATCCTTCGTCACCACCTCGATTTCACAGTAAACAGTTTGGGCGAGACGGTGGCGATTTGTCTGACTACTAGGAGATATATAGGGCTGATAGAATAGCTGTTTTAGTCGCGTTACATTTCCTAAAGTTCTTGATTGAATAACGCTGGTATAATTGCATTCGTTCTGTTGTTCAAAGCTTTTTTGCAAAAAAGGAAATTTAGGACATAGGATAAAATTTGTAAGATCTTGTAGAGTATGATCCATAGGCACATTATGCGGTAATGAAGAAGATCTCGTTAATCACCTTAGTGGAGCAGAATGCTCATTTACGGGCTGCTTTACTGGTCTGCGATCCCTCTTTCTGAAAAGTTGATGTTTGAGCTACGGAAACAATATATAAATAGTTGATAGCTTACATTTCGATGAAAACAGGATTTAACTCTATCTGGTGTTGAATCTGTGCCTTCTTCCAAACCTTCTTTTTGAACTTGAACTTCAAAGACTGGAATCTCAAGCGGTTCTTCACCAGTGGGGATTTCGAGGTCCAACACGAAGGTTGTGGAGCGGAGACGATTGGTGTAGAGTTTTCCTCTATCTATTTCGTAAGACTCAGAAGGACGGGAGCGCATGATGCGTGGAACAAGTGCAAATAACGATGGACAACAGTAGATCTCCCACACAACCCATGATAAAAGGATAAAGCTCTCGGGGCTGACCATATCACGACGGAATTTAGTTATGGTCTTGGTTCGCCATGGTAGACATCGAAACATTGCAGTTTCCAAAAACCAAACTACACTTTTTTTCAGAGCAGATTGTTTTTGAGTTGTTTCCAGTAACTCTTTCTGTTAATACCATTATAAATCCTCGTGCAAAGATCTCCTACGGTTGGCATTTATTATCAGCATTCTTCGGTGTGTTACAGCAGGATCAAGCTTTACTTTCCTGCTCTTTTCGAGCAACCACTTAATGGTGAAGGTAGTTTTCTCAGATTCCCTTCTTTGAGGAATTGTACGAGTTCAGCGCAAGTTCTAATTCCTTCGACAAGCGATTTGCTGTCGTCCTGAGAGTTCTCTTTCGTATTGCACTGATCTGAGAAAAAGATTGCCCTTATGCTTTCTTCTTCTACGGCTTACCTTTTATTGATGGGCGATCACAAGAGTCCTTGTCATTGGATCTAATCTTCAAACTTGAGAGGGATGGTTCGTTCCAATACGGAAAGATGGAATTACGGAAGCGTTACCGCGATGCTTTACTTTGTGAAAATTTGATAAGCGTCCTTGAAGCCCACTGGGGACTTTCCTTTCTCTAGACAAACAGTTCCCATTTTAGCTTCAGTCAATTGTTCCATTTCTTGATAGAAGGACCTTTCTATGCGGATCACTTCTTCTAGTGGAGGAGAGCGAATCTATTTCGAATCGATTTCATTACGTTTGTGGTTACGAGTTGATACACTGGCTTTCTTTTGTGCAGTGATTGAAGAAGAAGAGCTAAGTTAGTTAAATGGACTTCACATAAACTTAAGTGATGGGTAATGGATGGACAAGCCGCAGAGTGTGTGCCATCGACCCGTACCAGAACATTTCTCCACGAATGATATTTAATTGGTCTATGTCTATCTTCTTGCCATTTGTCTACTGTAGTGCGATCACATAAAATTCGAAGCGACCATCGATGTCAAGAAGAGCATGAATATCTTTGTCTGGGAAGGTTGTTCTAGTGTTATAAGGGTCCGGAGATGATAACAGTTTTCATGAAACCGATCCAGGAAAACGTTGTGGCGACGACCAGGTGGTATAGCGTTTTTGAAAGTTGGAAGCATTTCACTCTTTTACTGACATGCTTCTTTGACAGAAAAAGGTACATCAGTTATCCTTTGGAACAGCAGTCTGTGGGATATTTTTATTGGAGACACAATACCGACGGTCCTGTGAGAAATAGTTCGTGTTATATTCACTGCTTTCGTGGAGAACACTTCTTAATGGTATATTTGGTTGCACTTTTAGGTGAGCCAATTGTAAATGAATTATTCATGCTTCACCCGTCGCTTTGGACCTTTGTCGCTCATATTCAAATTGTTTCTGATTAACCGAGTTGGACAGTCTCATCCGCGTGGCTTCCTAACATCATTCTTTTATTTTAAATGGGGAAGTAGTTTTACTTCTTAAATTCCTTGAGTAGTCGCTTAGGTGTTGATTCTTTATTTTAAATCGTACACACTCTGGCCGTAATAAGAAAGTGTAAACAGGCCAAATTTGGACAAAATGTTCTTGAAATTTTGCAAACAGGAACATTTTAAGTGTATTCAAATTCCCATACTTTTAAGCTTCATTCACAAGATCTCTTTGCACAGCCTCCAGAGTTCTGTCCATCTGAAGCATGCTTAATGAGCGGAGTGAACCAAAAAATGTGAGCTTGTATGCACAAGAATAATAGTGAAAGGTGGACCTTCAAAGTGTAACGTAAGCGAAAAGTCATGCAGTCCAGAGTGAACGAAGTTTCTAACGTCGAGTTCCTACATACAAAAAAAGTACCGAAAATTGTCCTCTTCTTGAAAAGTTGATCGAAAAAATGTTATGCGAAGTGGATAAAGGATGAAGCTCTCGGGGTTGATCAATCCCTGAAAGATGCCCCGTGAATTCGACTTCATTACGCATCGCTTGGAGGTGATTGAATGTATATCTGGCCTTTACATTGACTCGCAGTGGCCTACCGATGTGTCGAGCCAGTGCTGCTATCCTTTCAGACAAGTCTGGTACCAATTTTCTGACCCCGGAGGGATGGAAGGCTTGGTGAGCCGCGAAAGCGGAGATCGATCTCATGTGTGTTGAAAGGCGCTTCCGACCACTGTGCCACCCCCGCTCTTTGCAAAGTGAAACGTGTAAAACATGTTCCTGCAAACTTTTTGGTAAAGCGAAACGTAAAAGGTAGGTGAATGGAGTAAAGCACCTGCTAATTTCTTTTACTCCTTAGTATTTCCCTTTTTCTAGACATTAGGCAAGCCACTTGAACTCAACTGTTTACTAAAAGTTTGTTCACAGAAAGCAGTTCGAAAAGATACTAAATAGCTGTTTCCAAAAAGTTGTTTCTAGGAAACCGTTCAACAAGCACCACTTGCATTGGGTACAATGCATTCGATGCGAAATTTATGAACGGTTTCAACATTAAGTCGACATATCTGAGCTCGTTTGGACTTCAATAGATTAACTACAAATTAGATGATATCTACAGACCCTTACAGATTACAAGAAATCCTTTCTCATATTCGATCCATGATGAAATTCTGGTTTTCATGAGTTCGTGTAACCTACTTCCTTTGCTTCTTTTTTGGGTCAAGACACATATTTCAAGAGCAAGAGCAAGTCAGCTTTCATGAACATTTCGTTAGCGTTGGTAATTTTAAGAATTCGAATTTCATTTTCTATTTTTCCGAGAACTCTGATTCCAAGCATGCCAGATGCCAGAATTGAAATAATGCTTTTTAAAAATTGTGTAGATGATTGATGCGATGAATCAAAGTCTCTTCCATGAATGCGTTGAGTTCTCAATTACTGAAGTACTCTAGCGGTCTAAAAATGATCTTCACTTGTCGGAAAACCGATTTCGAATGTTGTATGTTAAAATGATGCATTTGTGACTTTCATTATCATAATGGGCGCAGTCGCATATGAGAGCCGTTTTCGTTAGCTGTAAAGTAGGAAAACAACAAAGAGAGAAAGAGAGATGGGAAAGGCTAACATCTCGTCTTGAGTAAGGAGCTTTGTTTCTCAGTCGTAAATCTTTAGATCCGAAGGGTGAGCAGTCCTAAGCTAAAGAAGAGAAACACTGAAAATGGAGCTATAGTGGTTAC